TACGTACAGCAGACATCTGTTAGAGTGAAAAAAGGAGGAGGATATTAAAAACAAAGTTTATCCGTTTTTACCGAGGCGATTTAAGGTAAGTTGTAAACACCAAATCTGCTGCTTGTGTGTACATCTGCCAGCGCCGGCATTTTTCAAATTTACAACGGTTGTTTACGGCAACGCAAAGAATTGTGGGTTATCTGTAGCAGCGAAGGATACACCTCATGCATCCTCCGAATTCCTGTAAAAGGTCGCATTCGGAGTGTCCTACTTGCTTTTCTGAAATGAGACAGCCTCGATGACGTATGCAGCCTTCGAATGCGACCTCCGGAGGGCGCACCCTTCTAAATGAGACAGCGATTGGAAACGGTCTGTGTCACTAGTTAAAATTGCTTATTTCTCTGGATTTAAACTTTCTTCAAAACATTTGGGATAATGTAAGTACACAAGTCATCAAAATATATAACACTGTTCTAGTGGTTTTTGGATATTTTAATAAAAAAATCTTACATATTGTGCCTTTAATTTTTGCAGGTTTGGGTCTCCATACATCAACGTTACATGAAAATAAATAATCTGTCAAAACTCTAGTGTAATCAATCTAAAGGAGCTACTGAATCAGAATTAGCTTTTATTGTTTTATTGTTGTTTTATTACCGTTACTGTATATTATGCACTAAATTTAACTAAAAGAAAAAACATGGTAACACCGTGGTTTTGTGGTTTTTTCTACAGTGCTACCATAGTTTTTTGGATTATAGATTTGTTGGGACATAGTTTCTTTGAAGTATTGTAGAAAAACATATTCTGATTCCATCACTATACTAGGGAATATAAAATTAGGAATATAAAATTACTTTTTAGAAACCTAATCACTGAATGCATTGTAACTCTGCCACTAGAGTGATACTGAAAACAAAACTAATCCCAAATGTACTTTTATCAGTGATCTCTCTGCTACACTAAGTTTTGTTAAAAATTGAGCAAGAACCCAGACATGAACATGCAGGAAAAACCCACAAAACCCACATTAAACAGGAACAACGTGAGACACACTGAACAGCACATGTAAACTTTATTCTCTGTCTGTGTATTTGACTCTTCAGTCTAAGGAGCCGCTACACACTGAGAAACCCAATCACTTCTTGTATTTTATGCATATTGTTTTCCTAAAAATAATGTCTCTTTTGACTACAACATTACACTATAGACAGTGCATATGGCTTGCAGTAATACAGATGATGAACAGCACCAGAAAAAGCCTCAATAATCATGCGCAATTTAACAGCTACATCGACCTAGCGTTAAATAAACAGACGTCCGGTTGATCTTCACATTGTAAAACTGAAATTTAGTACCGCCTGAAATGTAAACAAAAAGTTAATACTTGCAGAATCAAATTATTTAAAACAGATAAGAATGGACAAAAGAACCAAGAAATGAGTCTGTCGCTACAAATATCGTACCATTCTCCCTAACTACACTACACTCTTAAAAATAAAGCTGCTTAAAAGGTTCTTCAAGCGATGCCACAGAAGAACCCTTTTTGGTTCCACAAAGAAGCATTCAGTCAAAGGTTCTTTAAAGAACCATCTCTTACCTTTTTATAATCTGAAGAACCTTCTTTCGCCACAAACAGATGTTAAAGGTTCTTTATGCAACCATTTAAACAAAAAAGGTTCTTCTATGGCATCGTGAAGCACTTTTATTTTTAAGAGCGTTGTTGTTTGGGTCTAGAGTCTTTCCTCTCGTCATCAGTGCGATCTGATCAATTTCAAATGAAACATAAGTTAACGAGCAGCTTGTTGTGTGGTGAACACAACACACGTATGTAAGGAGCGCTGGATGTTCGCTTGATTGCAGAGATGCTTTGTCATGCTTCCTGAATGCAGCACAGGCACACATTTCCCAGAATTCCTAGCGGTAAAATTCAAGGCTGAAGGTTGAAGCCGTACACCGGAGGAGTGAAACCATAAGCTGTGAAACCCGTCTGAGGAGTGACGGGTGTCTGACTGCCGCTCAGAGTCAGCTGTTGACCTGCATCAACAAAAAAACACACACACACACGCACACACATACACGCACACACATACACACAAACACACACACGTACACATGTACACACACAAACACATGTTCAGTGTTGGGGGTAATGCATTACAAGTAACGCAAGTTACGTAATCAGACTACTTTTTCTCAAGTAACTAGTAAAGTAACACATTACCTTTATAATTTACAAGAAAATATCTGTCAAATAAGTAAGGCCAGTTACTTTTTTCCCGTTTATTGACTGAAAGCTCTCCTGTCTCCATGTTGAGAGAAATCGGGAGTGAGATGTTACTTTAGTTCGAGAATAAATGTGAACATGCATTAATTCATCTCACATCTCATAGATTTAGTATTCCTCAAAATGAATAAAAACAGTAAAATGCAACTCAGAACGTGACGCAAACCTGCAATAATTAAATCTGTTAAATAAGAGAAATATCCTTTATATATTTAATCCCATTTTATTAGCCAGTGTCTTTGCTGCTGACCTTTGATGATCCAATTCAACCATAAGCAAAAATTACTCGAGATAAACTCAAATTTGTTCTTTTTTTATTGCTATTTCTTCTGCGTTCTACTGTACAGTCGTGAATTTACTTTTCCTTCAGCCTGAGGTTTATTCATTACACTTTTTGGTGTGAAAGGGCGTTTACATTTGCAAAAAATAGAACTTTTCATATTATAAACAAACAAGCAAGCCTTGCCCAGATTTAAAAAGTAACGCAAAAGTAACAAAACACTTTACTTTCCATAAAAAGTAACTAAGTAATGTAATTAGTTACTTTTTTATGGAGTAACACAATATTGTAATGCATTACTTTTAAAAGTAACTTTTCCTAACACTCGTCACATTCATGAACCGGAGCGTTTAACTTTCGAGCAGAGAATGATCTGTGATTGAAACTGCATCACAAGCACTCAGTATCTGGGCAGGATTTCACAGCGGTTTCTGTCGAGTAACAATTACAGATCAGAAAGAGCTGTACGGGAGCAAACAGGGAATGACAAACTACTGGATGGGATACTGTACTACTATTTTTGAAGCTTTTAACCACATGTAGAGGAGCAAACACAAAGAAAAAGAGAGAGAGAAAAAAAGAATATGGTTCGGAAAAGCTGGAAATCTTTAGCTATGGATAAGAATAAAATAATTGTCCGGGCTCACAGGTTGGAGAAGTTTCTCAAATTATAATGTATTTAAACTGGAATTATTGAAGCTGCATGTCATTTCATCATGTTTCTTGTCACAGAGCAATCAGCTGTAAGCAGCTAAATACATATTTATATAGTAAGCATCCGAGATGCTTCAAGAAAGCTCCTGAGAAACTCACAGTATTAAAAACAAAGTTTATCCGTTTTTACCGAGGCGATTTAAGGTAAGTTGTAAACACCAAATCTGCTGCTTGTGTGTACATCTGCCAGCGCCGGCATTTTTCAAATTTACAACGGTTGTTTACGGCAACGCAAAGAATTGTGGGTTATCTGTAGCAGCGAAGGATACACCTCATGCATCCTCCGAATTCCTGTAAAAGGTCGCATTCGGAGTGTCCTACTTGCTTTTCTGAAATGAGACAGCCTCGATGACGTATGCAGCCTTCGAATGCGACCTCCGGAGGGCGCACCCTTCTAAATGAGACAGCGATTGGAAACGGTCTGTGTCACTAGTTAAAATTGCTTATTTCTCTGGATTTAAACTTTCTTCAAAACATTTGGGATAATGTAAGTACACAAGTCATCAAAATATATAACACTGTTCTAGTGGTTTTTGGATATTTTAATAAAAAAATCTTACATATTGTGCCTTTAATTTTTGCAGGTTTGGGTCTCCATACATCAACGTTACATGAAAATAAATAATCTGTCAAAACTCTAGTGTAATCAATCTAAAGGAGCTACTGAATCAGAATTAGCTTTTATTGTTGTTGTTTTTTTTTATTACCGTTACTGTATATTATGCACTAAATTTAACTAAAAGAAAAAACATGGTAACACCGTGGTTTTTTTAGACGTACTACAGTGCTACCATAGTTTTTTGGATTATAGATTTGTTGGGACATAGTTTCTTTGAAGTATTGTAGAAAAACATATTCTGATTCCATCACTATACTAGGGAATATAAAATTAGGAATATAAAATTACTTTTTAGAAACCTAATCACTGAATGCATTGTAACTCTGCCACTAGAGTGATACTGAAAACAAAACTAATCCCAAATGTACTTTTATCAGTGATCTCTCTGCTACACTAAGTTTTGTTAAAAATTGAGCAAGAACCCAGACATGAACATGCAGGAAAAACCCACAAAACCCACATTAAACAGGAACAACGTGAGACACACTGAACAGCACATGTAAACTTTATTCTCTGTCTGTGTATTTGACTCTTCAGTCTAAGGAGCCGCTACACACTGAGAAACCCAATCACTTCTTGTATTTTATGCATATTGTTTTCCTAAAAATAATGTCTCTTTTGACTACAACATTACACTATAGACAGTGCATATGGCTTGCAGTAATACAGATGATGAACAGCACCAGAAAAAGCCTCAATAATCATGCGCAATTTAACAGCTACATCGACCTAGCGTTAAATAAACAGACGTCCGGTTGATCTTCACATTGTAAAACTGAAATTTAGTACCGCCTGAAATGTAAACAAAAAGTTAATACTTGCAGAATCAAATTATTTAAAACAGATAAGAATGGACAAAAGAACCAAGAAATGAGTCTGTCGCTACAAATATCGTACCATTCTCCCTAACTACACTACACTCTTAAAAATAAAGCTGCTTAAAAGGTTCTTCAAGCGATGCCACAGAAGAACCCTTTTTGGTTCCACAAAGAAGCATTCAGTCAAAGGTTCTTTAAAGAACCATCTCTTACCTTTTTATAATCTGAAGAACCTTCTTTCGCCACAAACAGATGTTAAAGGTTCTTTATGCAACCATTTAAACAAAAAAGGTTCTTCTATGGCATCGTGAAGCACTTTTATTTTTAAGAGCGTTGTTGTTTGGGTCTAGAGTCTTTCCTCTCGTCATCAGTGCGATCTGATCAATTTCAAATGAAACATAAGTTAACGAGCAGCTTGTTGTGTGGTGAACACAACACACGTATGTAAGGAGCGCTGGATGTTCGCTTGATTGCAGAGATGCTTTGTCATGCTTCCTGAATGCAGCACAGGCACACATTTCCCAGAATTCCTAGCGGTAAAATTCAAGGCTGAAGGTTGAAGCCGTACACCGGAGGAGTGAAACCATAAGCTGTGAAACCCGTCTGAGGAGTGACGGGTGTCTGACTGCCGCTCAGAGTCAGCTGTTGACCTGCATCAACAAAAAAACACACACACACACGCACACACATACACGCACACACATACACACAAACACACACACGTACACATGTACACACACAAACACATGTTCAGTGTTGGGGGTAATGCATTACAAGTAACGCAAGTTACGTAATCAGACTACTTTTTCTCAAGTAACTAGTAAAGTAACACATTACCTTTATAATTTACAAGAAAATATCTGTCAAATAAGTAAGGCCAGTTACTTTTTTCCCGTTTATTGACTGAAAGCTCTCCTGTCTCCATGTTGAGAGAAATCGGGAGTGAGATGTTACTTTAGTTCGAGAATAAATGTGAACATGCATTAATTCATCTCACATCTCATAGATTTAGTATTCCTCAAAATGAATAAAAACAGTAAAATGCAACTCAGAACGTGACGCAAACCTGCAATAATTAAATCTGTTAAATAAGAGAAATATCCTTTATATATTTAATCCCATTTTATTAGCCAGTGTCTTTGCTGCTGACCTTTGATGATCCAATTCAACCATAAGCAAAAATTACTCGAGATAAACTCAAATTTGTTCTTTTTTTATTGCTATTTCTTCTGCGTTCTACTGTACAGTCGTGAATTTACTTTTCCTTCAGCCTGAGGTTTATTCATTACACTTTTTGGTGTGAAAGGGCGTTTACATTTGCAAAAAATAGAACTTTTCATATTATAAACAAACAAGCAAGCCTTGCCCAGATTTAAAAAGTAACGCAAAAGTAACAAAACACTTTACTTTCCATAAAAAGTAACTAAGTAATGTAATTAGTTACTTTTTTATGGAGTAACACAATATTGTAATGCATTACTTTTAAAAGTAACTTTTCCTAACACTCGTCACATTCATGAACCGGAGCGTTTAACTTTCGAGCAGAGAATGATCTGTGATTGAAACTGCATCACAAGCACTCAGTATCTGGGCAGGATTTCACAGCGGTTTCTGTCGAGTAACAATTACAGATCAGAAAGAGCTGTACGGGAGCAAACAGGGAATGACAAACTACTGGATGGGATACTGTACTACTATTTTTGAAGCTTTTAACCACATGTAGAGGAGCAAACACAAAGAAAAAGAGAGAGAGAAAAAAAGAATATGGTTCGGAAAAGCTGGAAATCTTTAGCTATGGATAAGAATAAAATAATTGTCCGGGCTCACAGGTTGGAGAAGTTTCTCAAATTATAATGTATTTAAACTGGAATTATTGAAGCTGCATGTCATTTCATCATGTTTCTTGTCACAGAGCAATCAGCTGTAAGCAGCTAAATACATATTTATATAGTAAGCATCCGAGATGCTTCAAGAAAGCTCCTGAGAAACTCACAGGGGCAAAAGCTGCTTTAAACACAAAGGATGCTCACACCAAATGTTGATTTAATTTAGTTAATAGAAGTAAACTGCTAAAGAAAATCTATTTATGGCATTGACCGCATCCTCATTTGACAGCATTTTTATATTGCTATTTATATTATATTTTATATTTCCTACTGACACACTACAGCAAAATATAGAAATGACTGACTTAAAACCATTTTTTAGCTGCTGAAAATACTAGTGTTCTAAGCATTTTGGCCACCACTGTACATTATAATGCATTATATTGTTTCATTAATAATAACCAAAGTTTAAATGCATTCCTTGTTACATCTGAAATGGGTTGTGTTTTAATGATAAAATAAGTATTATAATGTAACACAAATGTGGTTACAATTATTCATGAGATCTTACAATGCATTATAAGCTGCATTACAAGGCATAATTAATGCATTCAAAATAATTTTATAATGCATTATACCGTATATAAACGTCAGAAACATCATAACCTGGCTTTCACTGAATGGTTACAAGTTGTAAAATATTGCTCTGATGCTGCACTTCATAACAAAAGTTAAACCAGTTGACAAGCTGGTCTCTGATGCATGTTTGCATTGATCAGGAATTAGAAAAGACTGATTTAGTAGTAAAGTGCAGGAAAGAGCTGATGATGAACGTACCGTAGACGATGGAGGAGGCTTCAGGAGTCTGCTCTTCAGCCGCTCTCTTGTCCTCAGCCTCCTGCAGTTTATCCACCTGTAAGAGACGCAGAGGTCATCACTGTCAAAGTGTCACGCTGCATCCTTTCATCCAAACGCCGCTTCACACACTCCTCAAGTCCTCCTCTGACGGCTCTCTACAGCAGCATCATGCAAATGCACAGTAGTCACACATCACATGCCAACATACACTCACATTCACTGAACTATTCCTTACAACATCAATGACTGTCTCGAAGCGTTATAGAAATATGACTTGCCACTTAGAAAACCACAATGCAAGATCTCACATTTTATTTATTATTTATACATTTATTAGAATATGTGAAATGCTAGCACCTACAGTGAGACTACTGAACTATTATTTGGCTTGACCAGTGTTTCTTTGTGCAGGTTTAGTTAACTAAAACTAAATGTAAATCTAAACCTAAAACTATACTATATGTGACCCTGCAGCACAAAAGCAGTCTTAAGTCGCTGGGGTATATTTTTGGCAATAGGCAAAAAAAACATTGAATGGGCCAAAATCATTGATTTTAAGGATATTAGGTAAAGATCATGTTCCATGAAGATATTTAGTCAATATCCTACTGTAAATATATCAAAACTTAACATTTGGTTAGTAATATGCATTGCTAAAAACTTTATTTGGACAACTTTAAATATTTAAATAATATTTCTCAATATTTAGATTTTTTTGCACCCTCAGATTCCAGATTTTCAAATAGTTGTATCTCAGCCAAATATTGTCCTATCCTAACAAACCATATGGTCACTCACACACACACATATATATATATAATAGATTAGATTAGAATATGTATTATATATATATATATATATATATATATATATATATAAAATCAATTATGTATGTGTGTGTATATATATATATATAAATAAAAATGTATAATATAATATTACATATTTTATATATTTATCAAATGTATTGTATGTATATATATTTTTTTGTTGTTGTTTGTTTATTAACTTATTACAAAAAGTTAACTACACTGAGGCTATTATATCTACTCTATCAGATTATATAATTTAATTTATGCAATCTGAACAATATTTATCAGGCACTAAAATTTACACTAACTATAACTATTGAATAGAAAAGACTAATTTATCTGAAATAGTGATAAACAGCAGCATCTGACTTAATATGTTAAAATGATCAAATTGACAAAATAAACGATAACTGAAATAAAATAAATATTAAAAAAGCTTATTTGATTTCAGCTAAGCAACATTTCTCATTTTCATTTAGTTTAAATAGATGTACTAAAATAACAAGAACTGAAATAAAAATGATAAACATATTAAAAAATAATAAAAACAACAAAAACACTAAAACTTTTACTGAAATTAAAATGAAAACGGAACATATAAAAATATATTAATTTTTTATTTATTATTTATTTACTTTTATTGTCCTCATTTGTAAGTCGCTTTGGATAAAAGCGTCTGCTAAATGACTAAATGTAAATGTAAATTTTTTTTTTTACATGACAAACACCAGATTTTCCTCACTTTTTGTCCATATAAATATCAGCATCTGCAGCAAATTACATATTTTTGCTCAGTTTCAGTCTCTGAATATAAATGAGCTGTTTTCTCACTATATCAGACTATATGAGCCATAAAAGCCTGATGTATTAAATATGACACTCAACATAAGATCATGTGCAAAATTTTATTTTCATTTTATTATTATTGTTTTTTTTTATGATTTTGTCTAAAGGTTAAATGTATGTCCCATTAAAAAAAAAAATATATATATATATATATATATACATACATACATATTTATATATATATTTCATGTTAGGCATTACAGAGTTTAGCGTAAGAGTGTTTTTGCTGCCCTCTGCAGGTCAGACTGATGTACTGCATGTGTAATGAGCACCTGACACCTGCAGGACTTACAGGACGAATATTAAAGAATACTAATTTAGTTTGAGAAGGCAGTCATAAATGTTTTCGGTTCATATGAGGACTGACGCTCGACTCCAGCGAACCTCTTCACATCTCAATAATTCCCCTAATAATAAAAATAATTAGTTTCCTTTTATGTTCTCAAAGACGCACTCACACAAGCAAACAAACAGGCGTAATACAGCTACAGAGCAGTGCACTGTGGGTAATCAAGCAAACAATTCAGAAACCGGTTATGAATCTGTACTCTACATGCGCTAATGTCTAATACAGAGACAGACAGACCTTCACCTGTCGGGATAACTCATCCACCTGTAGAGGACCAAACTCAGATCAGCTTTAGCATTCTGGACCATTTACAGAGCTCAGACTTACTCTCAAAAATGAGTTCACTACACTACAGCTATTATATCTACTCTAGCAGATGATCTCATTTCATTTATGCAATCAGAACAATATTCATCAGGCACTAAAACATTATGAATCTCATTCAGGATGACTGAATTAAACCTGAACAGATATATCTAAACTAATCACAACTAATAAACTAGAAAACACTCTAGTTGTTATAAACAGATTGTCCAAAACAATCATTCTTAAAAATATAGTTAATAAAAATACAACTGTTAGTTCATGTTAACTCTATTAAATAATATTAACAGATACAACTATAATGTATTAGTAAATGTTGAAATTAACATTAACTAAGATTAATAAATGCTTAGTATAATAGGTATTTTTCATTGTTACTTCTAATGTAGTTTACTAATGTTAACAAGTGTTTTCTTTGCGGTAACAAATTCATCAACACATTATTAATATGGTCTACTTATTACTCCTAAACACCACAAGAAAAAGACACTATTATTTCACTTAGTATAAGAGGAGAACATGCCAAATGTTCACAGTTTCAACGAAACAAATGTATTAATATATGTAGATTTTATTTCATTTTTTGGTGAATTATTCCTTTAAAGATACTGAAGCAAAAAGAGGCTGGAAAATGGTCACAAAATCAACTGATTTAAAAAAATAAAATAAATAAATATATAAATAAATAGTCACTAAATTGATTGCACATTTTTTTTTTTATTATTTTTGTGTGAATCATTCCTTTAAACATTAATAAAATGCCAAATAAAAATATAGAATAGAATAAAAAATAAAGAAAAAATTTATTAATTAAACAAAAAATTAATTAAAATAAAAAGACTTTTACATAAATAAAATGATATGTTATTTTTAATAATGACAGAATTTTAATTTCTAGGTAAATCATTTGTTTATAAACAAGGTGGAACGTTCAATTTCCATTATTTCAATTATTTATGTGAATTATTATTTGTTCCTGTATATGGAGTAAGTGTTTATCTAAAAATCAAATACATCCAATAGCAACATTTATACTAAGGGCCTGATAGGTGAAGGAAAAAGGTCATTTGGTGTAAGAAACTGTGAGTAATGTGTAAAAAGTGGACTTTCATTTAAAGAGTATGAGCGCTTTATGATGAGCAGCACATGCTTGAGATGCTTTCGTACGCACCTTGCTCAGGTACTCCCTCGTCACCTGAATGAAGTACGGCATGGCGAAGTCCACGAGGCCGTGTCTCCAGGCCAGCTCTAAGACCAGGTCAGGAGCCAGAAGATCATAGGAGCTGAAGAGACACGCGGCGAAACACTCGCACTTCCCCTCCTCAACAAACCAGCGCAGGAGATCCTGAGCCTGAGCTCCGTCCTGAGACTCAGCGGAGAACTGCATCGCATCCTGACACACAGACAGACGGGAGAATGAGTGCCTTTAGCCTGATTCTGCTCTGCTTTTAGTTTGACAGGAAGTACAAAAGAAAGAAATAATGCCAGAGATTTGAAACAACATGAGGAAGTAAATGACCATTATTTCTCAGCAAACAAAGCAGCAAAAAAAGGTGGAAAATAGTCACTAAAGTACTTGCACATTTTTTATTAAAATTCATTAAGAAATTAAGGGGAAAAAATAAATAGTCACAAAATTTGCTTCCAATTTTTAATTACAAATAATTAATAAGGAATAAAAAAAAATAGTAAATGCACATTTTTAATAAAAATATATTTAAAAACATCTATTAATTAAAGACAGAATTGTATTCATTGAAAACATTATATTAATTGAAAACAGTCACTAAATTATCTGCACATTTTTTAAAGAAAGTTAACTTTAAAACAAACAAACAAACAATAAATGCACATTTTCTTTAAATAAATGAAGTAACGAAGACAGAATTTTCATTTTTGTGTGAATTATTCCTTTACAGACACGGTAGCAAAAAAGTGTGAAAAATAGTCAGTAAATTAATTAGATATTTTTACTGAAAATCTGAATTAAATTTTTTTTTTAAGTATTAAAAAGACAGAATTTTCATTTTTGGGTGAATCATTCCTCTATATAAACAGTAAAAAGAAGGTTTAAAAAGTATTTTTTATTATTAATTAAATTATTCATTTAAAAAAAAATTTATTAATGAAAATTATTAATTAAAAAAATCAATAACTTAATAAAGCACAAAATACTAAAGCAAATAAACAATTAAAAATACTCAAATAAATAATAAAAACTATTAGTCTTGCAGCATTAATATGCTCTATTAAAATAAATAAATATGTATAATTAAAAATATATAAATGTGTAAAAATAAATAAATAAATACAACTATACAAATATATATAGGAACAAACATCAACAGGTTGGCAGTGATGCGTCTCTGTGTTTGTACCTTGTAGAGTTTGTCTTTCTTGCAGAGCTGGATGCTCTGAGCCCAGCGCTGGTTGCTCTTGTAGAGATACGCAGCGATGCGTCTGAACTCGATGAGCTCGTGTGTCTCGAGCCTCTGAGCCAAACCGATCGAGTCCAAGTTATCGTATGCATCGATGGAGGCACGCAGACCCTGAGCGGGACGATGAAGAGAGACACTTCAGATCCCGTGATCTTACTCTCACTGAAGCTCTGTGTGTGTGTGTGTGTGTGTGTGTGAGAGAGTGTGTGTGTGTGTGTGAGTGAGTGTGTGCATGTGAGTGAGTGTGTGCGTGTGAGTGTGTGCGTGTGAGTGTGTGTGTGAGTGTGCGTGTGTGAGTGTGTGCGAGTGAGTGTGTGCGAGTGAGTGTGTGAGTGAGTGAGTGTGTGCGTGTGTGAGTGTGAGTGAGTGTGTGCGTGTGTGTGAGTGAGTGTGTGAGTGAGTGAGTGAGTGTGTGTGTGTGTGTGTGAGTGAGTGAGTGAGTGTGTGTGCGTGAGTGTGAGTGCGTGTGAGTGTGTGAGTGTGAGTGAGTGTGTGCGTGTGTGTGAGTGAGTGTGTGAGTGAGTGAGTGAGTGTGTGTGTGTGTGTGTGAGTGAGTGAGTGAGTGTGTGTGCGTGAGTGTGAGTGCGTGTGAGTGTGTGAGTGTGAGTGAGTGTGTGCGTGTGTGTGAGTGAGTGTGTGAGTGAGTGAGTGAGTGTGTGTGTGTGTGTGTGAGTGAGTGAGTGAGTGTGTGTGCGTGAGTGTGAGTGCGTGTGAGTGTGTGCGTGTGAGTGAGTGTGTGCGTGTGAGTGAGTGTGTGCGTGTGAGTGAGGGAGAGTGAGTGTGTGCGC